GTTTTAGCTTCGATGCAAGCTGAGAAGGTATTAATTTTACCATGACGTGTTTTTTTTTTTTTTATGTCTGTTGCCACTTTTTCTCAGCTCTCACTGGACCGATTTCTTTCAACAATACGTCAAAAGATCACATATCGTATCTAGTTGAAGACATTACCCTTAAAAATTAAAAATTTTTCCCTCAATCCCCCCAAATGGGAGAAATTTCCAAAAAAATTACAATTTTATAAATCAGTAATTTTTGACATTTTTTTCACTTTTTTTTCTTAAAACTACCATAATTTTTTCAAAAATGAACAAATCAACATAATTTTTTTTTTATATTGAAACCTTTATTATATTTTCCTTTCATTTAATATCATTTATTTGAAAATTTAACGCTTATCCTGCTCATAGGGGGGATTTAAAATTGCAATTTTTGCACATAAATTAAACTTTTTCAACTTAACTTTTGAAAATGTTCCAGAAATACTGCGTCCTTTAAACATATACTAAATGAAAGCTTATGTCATGTTCTATAGAATGAAAAAAAAAATTGTCCCGACACTTTATCTTCTGAATGAAAACGGCTGCCGTAGTTAAAAAAAATGGTATATTTGTGTTAAAATTTTAGATTTTCGATTTTAAATATTCAACTTTAAAATGCTATAACTTTTCGAAAAATATATGTATCAGCACAAATTTTTTTTTCTAAATACTTTGTAAGTACATCTTTTATTTGACATACTTTTCATTAAAATTGGACAAAATAATGAAGAAGTTATATTTTGCTTTACTTTTACGTGTATAAAAATTTAAAGGTCTTGATGCAATATTTTTCAATAAATAAATGCACTGGACTACTAGGAACTTTCATCAGAAACAAAAATATACTTTTATAAATCAACTTTTCGCAATGTTTTCAAATGTGCAATTAGACTTTTTCTATCACTTTTAAGTTTTAATATCATTACTTATTATTAAAAAATAAGTATTTACGTATAAAAAAAAATAATAAGGAACAAATTAAAATTGTTTTAAACTAATACTGATTTTGATTATTAATATGTGAAAAATAAGGAAAATGACATATTTAAACTATTTTGTTAATCCTTTAAAGTTGATTTTTGTGAAAGTTTATAGTAAAAAAAATAATTTATTACCATAACTTTTAGCTCAATTTGCAAGTTTTAAAATGACATCATTAAATAGAAAATTTTATAAGAATTAAAAAAATTGTATCGTTAAAATTAATATGCAGTCAGGAAATGTTATAATTACTATTTATAGTAAATTTATCAGAAAAGTTCAATATTTTTTTGCATTTTTATCGTAATAGATAACTGAAATAGAAATAATTGTAATTATTTTCTAGTAACTTTTGGTGTTTAAAAAGATGCTACAATTTAAATATTCAGAAGTTAATTCATTTTAATGATGAATGTGTTAAAAATTTCATGGATTGTCTTGTTGCTTGAAGTGCTTGAGGATATATCCATGTTTACAGTTGAGTTCTGACGTTTCGGACTCATTGCAGAGTCCATCTTCAAGGAAAATTGCCATTTCTGGATGTAATGATAAAAAAACAGCTTAATGGGAAATTCGGCACAGGAGTGTATAGAAAAAGTACACATACAGATAGATATTTACATGCCGATTCACACCATTGCCCCTCACAGAAAATGGGATTATTACACACAATGGCAACAAGAGCTGTCAGAATAGCTGATGAAGACAATGTGAATGAGGAAAAAACATACTTACGACAAGCACTAAAGAATAATGGGTACAGAATTAAAAACATTAATAAGGCAATTAAAAAAGCAGAGAAAAGAAAAAATGCAACGCGTATCATGGATGACTAAAACAATGAAGATGAAAAGAAAGGAACATTAATACTGCCGTACATACAGGGAATTAACGACCGCATATCAAGGATCGCACAAAAATTAAAATTAAGAACCGTCTTCAAACCAAACACAGTTGCAGAATCACTACTCCGAAACCCGAAAGATAAACTGCCAGAGATGCAAACACTAGGAGTATATGAAATACCGTGTTCATGTGGTAAATCTTACATTGGACAAACAGGAAGAGCTATTGCGACAAGAATAAAAGAACATGAAAAAGACGTGGAGTACCAAAGAACAGTAAAATCTGCAATAGCTGAACATGCCAAAAACATTTTTTTTTTTTAATTTTATAGTACATGACATACGCTTTAATTTGACATATGTTTAATGGACGCAGTATTTCCGGAACATTTTCAAAAATTAACTTGAAAAAATTAGTTTTTGTAAAAAAGTTACTATTTTAAATCCCCCTTGTGAGCAGAATAAGTGTTAGATTTTCAAAAAAAATGATATCAAATGAAAGGAAAAACTTAAGGTTTCAATATAAAAAAATATTATTTTGATTTGTTAATATTTGAAAAAGTTATGGCAGTTTTAAGTACAAAAAACATGCCCATAGAAGATGATTTTTATCGCAAACATTACATTTTTTTTTAAATTTCCACAGCCATTGGCACATGGAAGATGTGTCGGGACAAATTTTTTTTTTTCATTTTATAGTATATAATATAACCTTTGATTTGATATATGTTTAAAGGACGCAGTATTTCCGGAACACTTTCAAAAGTTAAGTTGAAAAAGTTCTAATTATTATACAATGTTTCTTCAAGTTTTGAACGCCCCCTATATATGGGGAAATTGTCCAATTTTAATAAAAAGTATGTCAAGTGAAAGATGTACTTATAATGTATTTAGAAAAAAAAAATTTGTGCTGATAATTACATTTTTCGAAAAGTTATAGCATTTTTGAGTTGAAAATTTAAAATCGAAAATCAAATATTTGCGGGGATTGAGAGAAAATTTTTTAATTTTTAAGGGTAATGTTTTCGACTAGATACGATTTGTGATCTTTTGACGTATTGTTGAAAGAAATCGGGTCCAGTAAGAGCTAAGAAAAAGTGGCAACAGACAAAAAAAAAAACACATCATAGTAAAATTAATACCTTCTCAGCTTCACATCGAAGCCAAAATGTAAATTAAAAGAGTCAGTCTTCCCGGAAAATTTTCAAAAGTTAACTTGAAAAAGTTCATTTTTTGTAAAATAGTTACCATTTTGAAACCCTTCCTGTGGGCTGGTAAAGGGTCAAATGTTCACAAAAATATACAAAATAATAAGTAAATACCTAAGGTATCTATAAGAAAAAATATATGTATTGATTTGGTCATTTTTAAAAAAGTTATAGCAGGTTTAAGCGAAAAAAATTTAAGAAATGCCGAAAATTAGTGATTTTTAAATTTGTAATTATTGGGGGGATTTCCAGCATTTACGGTGATTGAGAGAAATTTTTTCAATTTTTGAGGGTAATGTCTTACACAAGATACGATTTGTGATATTTTGACGTATTGTTCATCAAAATCGGTCCATCGAGAGCTGAGATTGAGCGTTCATAGACACAAAAAAAAAAAATTAAATAAAAAAACACATCATAGTAAAATTAATACCTTCTCAGCTTCGTATCGAAGCTAAAACTTACTAATTTTTAATCTTAGTAAGTTTGGACTTTTCAATACTATTAAACGATATATATATATATATATATATATATATATATAAATTATTAATAATTTCATTTAATTAATTTTATCAATTATAAATATATAGACGAAATCTTAGTTGTATATTATATTTTGACTGCTTATCATTAATGGTTTATCCTTCAGTTCATTTTATTTATTATAATTTGTAGATAGTTATTATTATTGTATATAGCATTTAAAAATAATCAGTAGTTCTATTATCATTTAAACTTAACTAATAAAATTTTATACGTATAAATCGACTTAGATAACTATTAAAAATAATTTTATAACAATAAACCTAATTATTTGAATATTTTATAAGAATTTCCAGTCAACCAAAAGTTTTCCATTTAGCAATAATTTAATTTAAGAAAAAAGTGATATACACTATTTTAGGTTCCCATTATAGTAAACATGAATTTTAAAAATATTTCAATTTGACATTTTAAAATAATAAACTATCCCAGTAAAGACTAAATACAAAATACTTTTATAGTTTATTATTAGCAGATGTGAGAACTCTTTGGTAGATAATTTATTTACCCTTTCTAGTATTTGTTTTTTCAATCAATTTGTTATAAATATTATTATTTAAGTAAAATTGTTAGCCAATCTCTTAAATTATTGATAGAAGTTTAGATAATGGTTTTCAATAAACCATTCAAATAACTAAAAATAATATAACGAGAACATACAGATAATAATTAAAATACAAAAAAATAAACATTTTTCTCTTAATAATTAATATTAAGTCTGAAACTAACAATTGTTTAACAAATTTTATAAAATTTAACTTTATTTTCTAAGACAGGTACAAAGTTTTTATTGATAATTCTTATCATGATATTAGGTTTATTTCTACCAATAGTCAAAAATGTTTGGATCAATTAAACCCCAGATAATATCAATATATTATCTTAATTTCATATAGTTCGTGACGTACGTTTAACGATTCACAGAGTAAAAATAAATTTAGGTATTATAAGATTAAAAACGTAGTTACTATTAATATATTTTCGGGCTTAGGCCATTATTAGGTTACTTAAAATAAAATAAAAATCTTTTTTCTTTCGATAATAACTCTTAAAAAATTATTTCTATTGCTGATTATACAGATGGTGTTTATTGTCCTCTAAATAATTTTGAGAATGTGGTTTTATTATTAAGACGGCGATATACTTTTACAGAACGACATTATAATCCAACAATTACATAGATAATCATGTAATGTCACGTGTTCTAACTGATTTACCAACTTGAGCCTGCAGCTCAATTCATTCATATATCTAAAGTAGGGGCAAAGCATAGAAAAGATGATAATAATTAATGGGAAACAACAGTTATGTTATTTCAGACTGTATAAAATTTTATGTTCACTAAATGGCTGCACTGACTCACACACAATACTTGTGCATTTGTTAAGCTATTGTAACACTACGAGTTTACGGATATCCAAGAGTTTACATTAGTTTGGAGAGGTGGTATTTGATATTTTCTTCAAATTAAATGTAATATTACATGACGGTCAGTGAGGCAGTAGTGAATGCCGTGACATTGTGATTTATATGGATTTTATATGTTCTTGTGTTATCTCTAAAAAATAATCATTTGTTTTCATTTCATAGTTCCTCTATTGTTACGTAGTAATAAAAATTTGTTTTGTTTTCAAGAGTTACTCTTCTCCCTTTTTGCAATTTGTATCATTTAAGATATATATCAATTAAATTTATGTTGTTTTTTTTAATTAAACATTTTTGTTTAAAAATGTCTATATCTATTTTGTGGTAAGTTATTAAGTGTAAAACTTAATTAAATGTATTATTATTAGATATTAAATCAAAATATAAGGCACAATAAAAAGAACTTATGTTATTAAAGTATAAATCTCTAAATTTTAGAATTTATGAAATTTAATATTTTTTAAGGATCGTGTTATCTTAATAATATAAATAATAAATGTGTAGTGTAACCCATATCATTGCCCTTATTCTAAACATGAAATTTCTGAAAATATAAAACTATAAATGTAGTTAACTATAGACTACATGTTGTAATATGGATATTTAAATATTAATGTATATCTATTTTGATTCTTAGCTTGACTTCAAATTAGTTTTTGGTACTAAAAAATTGTACATCAAATGAAATAACTAGAATCTTCTCAACGAAAGAATTGAATAAACAATTAACTTAATTAAAATTTACTCAAAAACTTTTCTCCGAAAGTGTAGTAATTTTTAAATTAGACTATCAAATCACTAATATGACTATTATTTATCAAAATTTAATTCTAAACCCTTATAAATTTTATATTAAAGTGGTTAGTAATTTTTTAAGTGATGATTTATTATAAAATAATTTTCTAGAGAAATGTGATGAATTGCTAAAAAAATACTTTAACCGGTTTCAGTAAATATCAAAAAGTCTTTCATTGGCTCTTTTGTTATGATTCTCTCATAGTATAATGAAAATTAAGTATTTATTTTTTTTAGACTTATAACGTAAGATATTTATTGAACCCTTTGTAATCAGTCTGGTCTCGGTCAATATTGAATGTTTATATTGATTTTTATTTACTTCGTTAAATTTTTAGTTTATTGAAACTTGAAGGTTATTTGAAAAAAATATTTTTAAGTTTATAATTTGATTGAATTGTTTATTTGATATTTTTTTAATTTACTCTATTATATAAAATAGAATGCTTAAATTATGAATTATTTGTATTTTACAAAAAAAATTTCTCTGATTTTACAGTGCATTTAAGGTACTGTATGCATGTGCACATAATTGTATATAAATATTATTTTATATTGTTAAAGACTTCATTTAAATTGTAAAATCATGTAGACCAAACAAACTGCAGAGAAATTGAATAAATATTCTAGAAAGAGTGGTTTATAATATGCATGAACTAGTGAATTTAAAGTGTAATAGATATTAAAAAAAAATTCATTTTTAGTTGAAAATTGTGAGTATATGATCTGATAGGATTTAATTTTATATTTGTTAATTTATAAATAAAAAGCCCATGGGTTTATTATGTTACCAATAAAATTGATATTGTGATTTTAGAAAAATGTAGCTAGGATATATGGTAACACATCTATTGTTTTCTAATAAGTAAAAACAAATACCTTTTTCTTTTGTCTAATTATTTTCATTTATCAATTACCTATGAACTATTAAGTTAAATAACAGATGCATGCAGGTTTTAAACAGTTAAATAATATTAATAATAAATAAATTTATTTTTAGATTTGTGTATCCCTCTTCGATGTGCAATATTAAAAGATAAAAAAATAGTTAACATTACAATATTTGTATTTCTAATATTTTGTAATAACAAAGTAAAAAAAAAATTATAATAAATTGTTGGTTGTCTGATCATTTATATGTTATATAAACTAATATATAGAGTTCAAACTCATGATATGTTAGATACTATTAATTATATTGTTTTATACAATTATAATTATTTTTTTTTTTTTAATAGATTAGCATGTCTTTTGTCTTTTTTTTTTTTATCAAATACTTAACCGATGCATTAAGTTGATCTTTTTAAATTTTGGTAGTTGATTTGTTTGTCTTAGCTGAAGTATGGCCCTATTTACAAGTTAAGTCAAATTTTGTTTTTTTCTGGGAGTCTTGAAGAATTGGTTTAATTAATATGATTTTTAGTTTATTTTTACATTAATTAATATCGTTAAGTAAATTATATAAATTTTGTATAATTTATTTATGTGTTGTAATTGGTTCTCTAATTTCTGTGGGAAGTACCCAGAACCAAATAAAAATGTGAATAATAACAGGGCAACAAATAAAAGTAAATTGTTTTTTTATATTATTCATATGCAATTTGATGCTGACTCCGAAACTGGTTTTAGATTTTCCTATTACATCTAGTTTTTGAGATAACTAATAATTAGTAATTAAAAAATAATTACACAATAGTAAAATCGTCTTAAAAAAAATAATTTTTTTTAACTTTTCTAAAATAATTGATGTTTAAGAAAAAATGATTAAATTTGTGACTGCTTTATCAAATTTAAGCCGTTTTTTGGATCTTAAAAGTTTTTATAATAAAAATTGATCACTTGTGGCTAATTAATTAAGTAAAATTAAAACTATATTAAAAATGTTATTAATTTAAAAAACTAAAAAATATTAAACTCAAAGCCACAATGTTACTATTATCAACGCTAAACACATACTCATGTATGTTTAGCGTTGATAATGGTAACATTATTTCCGAAATACGTATCCGCGACTTTTCATTAATTTTTTGTGGCTTTGAGTTTAATATTTTTAATATTTTTTAGTTTTTTAAATTAATAACATTTTTAATATAGTTTTAATTTTACTTAAAAGTTTAGTTTGTTATTATATAAAAATAAAAGTTGAACTTTCGAGTATAAATTTTTGGTTTAAATTATAATTACGAAACTTTCATTAACAAATAGATCAGTATTAGGATTTAAAAATATTAATTTTGTACAATTCTAATAAATATAAAGCGAAAAATCATTGGTTGTTGTCCTTTGTAATTATTACAGTAATCTATTTTCATTACGACAATTTTTCTTGTGTGTGTGCATTATTTTATTACAAAACATTGGATTTATATATCGACTTATTAAACAAATAGCAATAATGTTTCTTATTCGAACATAAAAATCACCTTACATACGTTATAAGAACTATACAATATTTAAGAATATAATTTAAATGAGTCATAAAATAGAGTTTCAATCTAGAATTCAAGAATTTTCTAATTCAACAAAATTTGGAATTCAATGTAGAAAAGTGTTATTCTTATTATTCCATGATTAAATGATACGTATAAATAAAGCAACACTGCTATTTTATTTACACATGTTTATCGTATATATTTGGCTTAGCTATGCTTGTATTAGACTTAACTCTAACTAATGCAAGCTAGACCTTATTATGCGCACCTGCTTTATATTTTAAGTATAATCTCTATTATCTAATACTTCTATTAAAATCGAAAATTTTTATTAAAAAAAACTAGTTAATATTGATTATTTTTTGTAAGACATATTCGAATGTAAAATTTAATTTTTAATTGAAACTTTAATATCAACAGGGGTGGAAATGGTTAAGTTATAATTAAAAAGTTTTTTTTTTTTTTTTCATTAATATTTATGAGAATTATCGTTTTATTATTTACCTATAATTTTTGTTTTTAATAACGTTTTTTCAAAAGAAAATCAAAATTAGTAAATAATTTATATAGTTCAATTTTAATAATATGTTTTGAAAAATAATTTTTTACACTACTTTTAAAAACATTATCATAAGTTTCAGAAAGACTAACATGACTATTCAGTATTACATGGTTATAACGTAAGTTTACGTATGTTGAAAAAAAATCTGGTAGGTAGTAGAAAAAATGAAACAAATTTAACAAAATTAAAATAGCACTCGTCGGCTTTGAATATATTTAAAAAATAAATAAATAATAATTTTAACCAGTGTAAATTAAAATTGGAGGCATTCAAAATAATAATATGTAAGTACAAACACGACTTGCACTGATAACACGGAGAAATGGATGACACCTATGCATTTCGCGCTGGTTTTGGGTTAAAACTTCAGGCGTCAAAAACCAGTTTAGTGGTAAAATTTTCAAAAAAAATATATTTAATGAAGGGATATGACTTAAAATTATTGTAATTCATTTGTTATGGACAAATTACTAGTATTTCATTAACTTTAACACTAACGACTACACTAGTGTCTAATCAGCATAAATGTCTCTATTTACAGGGAACTAAGAAATTTTTAACCTTAAAAATACGGTTGATGTAGAGAATTTCGTAATATTCATGGGAATATACGCGAAAAGATGAAATTATGAATTATGAAAATTAGATACTAGAATCTACAATTTTTATATATTTGAGAAATGGAAATTATGTAATTTGTTTCGAACAATAAAATCATTAGCAAACTTGTAAAAATACAGTTACTTAGAATATTAGGAAGTTGTCTATTTCACGTGTGACTAAAACATCAACAACTCGCGTGAAACAAACAATATGTATCTTTACCATTGTGTATCTAATTATTATCTTAAAACATACTTAATAGTAGTAATTTATTTAGTAAATTATAACAATGTATAATGAGAACATCTGTAGATAATTTAATCATATTAATGTGTTAAAATTTGTTTAATTTATTAGAAATTTTTACATTTATTTGTTTCAAGAAAAACTTTATAAAGAAAATCTTAGCTTAACTTTCAACCATTGGCCTAATCTAGGGGTTACAAAAAGGGCCAATTGTCACTTAAGATATTTGATCGAGGTGCCAATGGTATCATTTTGCCCTTCCCATTATAAATTAAACCCAACCCTACTGTGTCTTAGTGTTATCGCACTAAGTTGCGGGCATACATTTTTTTTTTGTTGACTCATGTTACCACGACCCTGGTTCATGATACTAGAGTTTTATGCTGATTTTATTCAAAGTATATAGTAATATATGTTTGCGTTTAGCAAACTCATTAAAACACAGTCGCCTATTGTTATTTTTTTCTCTGGTCAAGTCAATCCATCAGGGTAACGAATATTTGTTTATGGTATTGATTTTATCTTGTCGCGTTACTGGTAGCCAACTTTTATTGTATTAAGTTTTTAATTTATGTACGAATCTTTTCATCGTTTAATTTTAAACGATTACTGTAAATAGTAATGAAACTTTTAGTGGTCGATTATTAGTTTTGTATTGTTACATTTTGAGTGATTATAATTTTTAT